CGTTGACTTTGACTTTGGAGCTTCGTCCAGTTTTTTAGGGAAACTTTTAATGTTTTAATTGGACATGAATTGAACTGTTTAGTCAAAGTGAGGCTTTCAAACGTAATAACATTGAAGCTACATTCGAGCATAGTGGTGGCAGCACCATGCTTTGGGGCTGTTTTGCTTGGCACTGGATGTCAGCCATATTTATTTTTGATAAAAGTTTAAAATATGTTGTTGTGGTTTGAATTTGAATTATACTGTAGCAGTTTATTATTTAAAGCCAAGATGGAACTGTAGAGCATAGTGGTGGCAGCATCATGCTATGGGACTGTTTCATTGACTATTTCATATTTTTTTCACTTCTACAACAAGTTGACGACTAGATATTTAAAACTCGAGTTCAGTGAAATCTGATCTCAACTGTAAAGTTTGAAAGATGTAATTTAAGCATAAGAGGGTTTCGTGACAGAATTGCATGGTGGGAAATGTAGGCTTATTGTTTTAACAATTTAACTGCTCTTAGACTTTATAACAGCAGTTAAATTAGAATGGAAATGCTTGTTTTCTAACTCACTGACAGTGTGCGTTTGTGTTAGAAAATCGCAGATGTTTTATATCATTTTAACTCCTAAAGTTTCAGGCTGAGCACCAAGAGAGGGGAACGTTTCCTGCCACGTCCGCTTTAATAAAAAAGAGATAACCTGCAGGCGAAACGTCAGCGGACCAAAGAGCTTCTTGCTGTTTACACACGACTGATATCCAAACAAAATCAAACTGGATCTTTAAATTTCTTAAAATTAGATACAAAAACAACAAAAAATACCTTAACTATGTTTATTTTTACCCAAACTGTGCTAAGATAATAATAAAAAATTAATTTAAGTTTTAGATGCTGAAATGCTGTTTCTACACACATGTTTTGTTTCATGTTAATCTTTAACTTAATGAAGCTACGATGCGTCATCAAGGTTGCGTCCTTGCGTCCTTTAAGCAAATAAAACAAATTTCCATGTATCCTGAGTCAGATAAACATTAGGATATATATAAAGTTAAGTTTTTACCTCAAAGAGCCGCAGGGCCTTGGCCAGAGCTCCAACCTCCTCCTTCAGGGAGAAGATGCAGGTGATCACCTCCGACTTCCTGCTGGTGTCTTCTTCCAGATACGAGTTCCTTCTTCTCTGGAGAAAATAATAAAATATTCATATTTACTGGAACTCATAGCTCAGTTTCTGTTATTTTCTGCTGACGGATCAAGCGTGAGATCTCATTCTGAGCAGTGACATTCAGGAGACGACCTGAAGCAGACTTTGCACCCTTTGACCTCTGGAGCTAAAGGATGCATGGAAGCATTCCTGCGCCTCCATGACCCAACCGGTCCCGGGAAATGCACAAAACTTTTCCTTCTGCAGAGCAGAACTGAGAAAAATCTGGAATTTTTTTTTGGGGGGGGGCATTTTTAAAAGCTGATTATTGCTGAAGCAGCTCCTGCAATTTGAATTGAAAATTTGCTAAAAAGTTGCATTTTTGTAGAGAAAAATTTCAGCTGCTGAAAGTTCCTGACAGTGGATCTGTGCATAGAGAGGGCTTTGTTTGTTTTTCACTAACATCAGCTGTTTTACTTTCTATTCACAGCACATAAAGGCAGAACCAGCTATTGTTTTTTGCTCTCACCAGAATTTTCCATTAATAAGGAGCTGTAAAATAATTTAAAAATCAATCAAAATTAGTTTGGAATAAGAGAAAAGTGACATTGTATATTTTTACCCCGGTGCCCGGCTCTCCTGTCTCTTCCTCCGGGCTGTGGTCTCCGTTCACTCTCTTGTAAGCGGCGTCCATCGTCTCTGCAGGTTTTGATGATCTGATGCTGGTTTCTCTGTCTCTGAGCCTCTCCTGTGCGTCGGGTTTTAACTTTACGTGGGCCACGTGACGCCACACCCCCTGTGTGTGTGTGTGTGTGTGTGTGTGTGTGTGTGTGTGTGTGTGTGTGTGTGTGTATCGGTACGTCACAGGACGGTTGTGAAACAGAACCGTTATGGTCACATCTGGATCCTGTTGTCCGCCGCTGGCCCCCGAGGCGACGCTCATGAAAGCCTGCATGTAAAAACAGTTTGGTCTCCTGCAGCCTGGCTGCCCTGAAAGCAGGTAGAAATATCTGGAGATTGGTGATCGTCTGATACTTAAACATGAAGCCGAATCTTATCTACCTCAACAAAGGTCTAAAAATCAACCGGTGTCCTCCTCTGCTCTGCTCCAGAGATGAACCGATCCGATATTTATGTCTGCATCGGTTTTGTTGAACAAAAATTCTACACCGGTGACAATGTGCCCGATCCATAAGGAGATATCCATTTAGTCTAATTCTATGCTTTGTGGTCTGAGCAACGTCATTCTTTATTTATTTTACGTTTTATTTTGAATTTCTAGGTTGTTTCAGTCAACTTATTTTCGTCAGTTTCTTTATTATTTATTCTACATTGGCTGCTATACCTCAATTGCACTGACTGAACAGAAGTTTGTGAAGTTACTTGTATTTATATGTGCTGTACTGGTGCAGAGTTACCAAATAAATGTGTAATTAAGTACATTTAAGTCTGTATTAAAAAAAAAACAACAAAAAAAACAATTTTAACTCAATACAGCACCGTTTTTTTGTATGAGATCGTTACGGGCCAATTTTTTTAACCTCAGAAATCTGCATCGGTATCGTAAGTGAAAAAAGTGGATCGGTGCATCTCTAATCTAGCAACATAGTAATAGATTTAAGCTGGAGGATAATTGTTGAATTTTTATGTCTAACTATACCTTAAAACCCATAAAATAAGTGACAATATTTACATTGTTGCTTTGGTAATCGGGTCACTGTGGTCATTGCCTTTCCTGGCTTCAGTGCATTTTAACCTAAATTAAAATCTTACATTAAAGTGTGACTTTTGTGTTTTTACGTCCGTGTGTTTTAGTTGTGTCTGCATAGAGACAAAAGTCTAACTGTAACAAACATAAAAGGCATAAACATAAACTACTGTAATGAATTCAGTGACCTAGAAATGTTTAATTAACCAACTGGAAAAACAGATATTGGTGGAAAAAGTTCAGAAGTTCAACAGATCAATAATTGGGTAATTAAATGATAACAGACCCATTCAATAAATTAGAATATTATTAAAAATTTCATTTATTTTGGTGAATCAATTTACCAAGTTTAATTTTTTTCAATGATTATTTACACACAGATTGTGTTGACATCCTTGCCTGTGCCTTATTTGCACAGGTTTATTCATTTTAAAGAACATTTCTGCATTTTATATATCTTAAATGCCCAAATACACATTTTGTACATGTTTTTATTATTTTGATAACAGCACAGTCTTTGTTATAATTTATTCTTCCATGCACAGAATGTTATTCTTAAAATATATGAAAAAGAAAATTAATACATTTATTTTGTCAATAATAAAGTATTTCTTGTCTTCTCTAGGACTATTTAAGTTCATAGTAATAATAATAATAAAAAAATAGTGATTTTTGAATGTTTTATTTTCTGTTTAGACAAAAAACAGTAACTAAGACGAGCTCTGCAGTGTCTGAACATTTATCTTCTGTTTTAGGAACCACATCCTGTCAGAGAACAATGTCTTGATTCATGAGCACGTAATAAAAACCCTGGTAAGTCTGTGAAATACACATTTTATGCTGCGTTTGCATGCCTCATCCCAGAGAAACACAGTTTTCGGTGAGAAAACCAGGGTTTTCTGAAACAATGAGTTACTGTGGTTAGCTAGCGATAGCGGCTAATTTTGTTCATGCTAAGCGCTGCTTTCTGCACAACAAACCACAACAATAACGATGTTTGAGTTTCTGCAGAATACATTTTTATTTAACTCCAAACAGTTGTAAAATTTTATTTTTAAAATTTGATTCAAGCTTTAGTTGTTTTGTCTACAACCTGAAAGTGGTATAATGCTAACCTTCTGTATGTAAATGTACATTTATCCATCCTATTTTTGACTGGAATATCTGTCATTAACGTGATATTTTGTATTTCTACTATAAAGTAAATTAAAAAGGATTAAACTCATAAAATTTAATTGACTAGAAAATCAGTAGTGATACCCCTAACATAAAAGTGAAGTTAAATTTGATCGTGTTTTAAGAAAAAGTTGGTCTTTTTCTCAATGATCAATTAATCTGACCCACTTCTGTGTCACATTATAATTTATAATAGCCATTTACTACAGTTGTACCATTTCAGAAATATGGCAATTTATAAAAAATAATTGTTTTAAAAGGATTTAATCAAAATTACAATATTATTCAATTCCAGAAACACCTTATTGACTCAAGAAGGAAAATTAAATGCTGTTGTAGCTCTTCCAGATTTCTTCAAAGATATGTTGTGGATGTTGATGGTTGTGTGTAGGAAAGATCTCCTGTAGTGGTCAGTAGTACAGCAGTTCTGAATAAGCTTCTGACTCAAGTTAGATGATTTTAATATTCTTCATTTTAAGAAAGATTCTTTGCAAAATTATCTCGAGAGGTTCCAGCATTCTGCATCAGCTGGTCGAGCTTTTTATTAATATTCTCTGTTGTTGTTTGTTGCTTTCGCTCCACATCGATAAACATGTGACATGTCAAAGTTAGCGTAGAGAAACAAAACCCCTCAGGACTCAGGATGCTCACAATTTCAGGGTCTGCAGGAAGAAAACAAAGCGGTACTTTTGCTGGTCCCCAGGATGCATCTGGTTTTTGAACAATCAGTTTTTCATAGGAAACTTTTTTTAAAGAGGTTTCTCTTTGTATCACACACTCAAACAGTTTGAAGTGTGAATGCTGCTTTTACAATTGAATATTGTTTTCTGCAGAAGATCGGGTCTTTCTGGTGCAATATGAGGTCATAGGCTGAAGGAAAATTTTAAATCTGTTGATCAAAATTATTTGAAAAGTTTAACAGAACCCAATTTGGAAACTTGGAAGAAACCATATTTTGCCATCAGAGAAAATTCTGTTTCCTCTCTAAGAATTTTACTAAATAAAAGCTTAAAAACCAAATTGAATGCAGGGACCAACAGGCTCCACAAGAGGGCGATGTTGGTTAGATAATCAGCAAACACCAGCTTCCTTGTTGTCTCAAATGTTTTTGCTGCTCATTAAAAAAAAACCTGCCCTTGATTGTTCCTCTCTACTGTCGCCACATACATACTAACATCGTAACGTGAACAAACAACCTGACATTAAGTAATCCGCTCTCTTTTGTTGAACAGTTACGTTGGAATGAGTGAGATTTCTGTTAATTATGTAATTGGATATTAACTTATTTCTGATGAAAAATGGCTTAAAATGCAGTTTTTTGATGTGTAACTAAATGTAACTAAAATGAAGTTTCAAGAAGTTGTAAGAAAATTACAATATTAACCATATGCAAAGATTATGTTTGAGATAAGTAGTGACAAAGCAAACCAATATTTATATAGTATTTAGTATACAAATTATGTAATATTTCTTTACCTTTTAACATAATTGTTTTTTTTTAACACACACACACACACACACACACATATAATACTATTATTTATAATACTGGAAACCTTCATTCGTTTGGTTTCATTTCATTTAAAAAAGACGGTAAAATATATAAGCTGTTGCTCAGGACAGGTTTCCGTTAATTGACTCGCCTGTTGCTCTTTTGTTTTATTTGCAGTAAATCACTCCTAATTTCTGGAACAATTCACCTAAGACTGTTATGATTTGTGGTGGTTGGTGGTGAGGAAGACGCCGGTAAACCCAGGTAGTCATGATGAAATGATGATTTAATAAAGAATCAGGAACAAACTCAGAATAACAGGCAGCACTGGAAACAGACAGACGAACAAACGACGACAACTGGCAAGGATTTGACAAAGGACAGAGACAACAGGTGGGCTTAAATACACAGGGAGTAATTAGGGGAACTAGACACACCTGGGAAACAATTAGGGAGGAAACAGGACTCACAGGGAACAGGATCAAAATAAGACACAGAGAAACCTAAACTAAACATACAGAGAACTCAGAAAAAACTAAATCCCGACAAAGACGGACATTTCTGTAAGTTTTTATCATCTTAGAAAGTGGTGTTGATTAGGATTAGGGAAAATTATTACAGTATATTTGGTGTTTGAACCATTTTAGTAGCTCAAACACCAAATATACCTTAATTAATGAATATACTTTTTTGTCCTCAAATGGGAAATTCACAGCATGCACAGTGGAGACATCCATAGTCTTCCCCAATCAGCTCAAAGGATAACGCAACAGCAGCCATTAGTATTACACCTCAAGCTGCATATAATTCAAATAGTTTTTATTTTCTATGGAGAATACCGCTTGCCGTCAGAGTTGTGCTCACAATGAGCCTCAGTATGTGGGACCTACTGGTCAGTAATCAGAGCTGTGATGTCACATGACCCCAGCAAGGTCAGCTTGTACAGTGGACGGAGCGCTCCCCTGTGAGTCATTCTCCATCATTACTGATGATGGACACAATTACTCGTTTATCAGCAGAAGTGATTCTGAGCCGACCAACACACTGCGGTTCTGTTCCTGTAATAATGATTGGCCAGATGTGAATCTCTGGCCTCCAGATCACTTATTATTTTGTCACAATTATGTAGCTCCAGCTATTTTTTTTTTATTTGTAAAAAAAAAAAAGTGGATTGGATTTGTTTGAAACCGACTCTGCACACAGAGCGTTGCTGTGCAGAAGGAGTAGCAGGAGTGCTTAGAGATGATAATCGCTTATGCACTTGTGAGGCTCCTAATTGTGCTTTCATGAGATGTCGTTGATTAATGGACAAGATGATGGACATCCTGTGAATGTTGTCCACATGTGCGCTGTCAACGGGGGGTGCTGA